ACAAAGCAAACTGAAATCATGGGCAATACCTAGCTTGGTGAGTGTTATCACACAAACCCACTTGGTTGCTTTGATCTTCCTCGAGCTTAGTTGCCTAAACTTTCTTCTTGCTTCACGGTCAGTGAAGACGATCCCCTGGGTAAAAAATTGTTGTGCCGGTGCTGTGGATGAACTCAAAGCACCGCGTACGCGAGAAGACCTCATTTTAAACATCTATAAAACAATTTTCCAGTCCAATACATTTAAACAATATTGATCCTATGGCAATCATAATGTCATACTCCTCTAAAAACATCAATGAATCCAAGTCAAATTCAAATTTGGATCAAATATATGCATCTCCTAGTCATGGAAATGCTAGGCATGTAGAACATGGATTCACGAAAAATAACTTGGGGATCGGAGGAGAAACATACCGTAGATCGATCACACGGAAGAATTTGACTGAAATCGAGCGAGTAGAGAGATCGAGCGAAGTTTTGCTAGGGTTTGGAGAGGTCTAGAGGAGGAAGAAGAAGAAACGAGAGACATGTGGGAAAATTACCTTCTTCCTCGGGCTTATTGGGGCCGCCAGGATACGAAACCACCGCTAATGCGGACGCAAGCCCCCGCATGGATTTTCGACGTTCTTCCTGAAAACTTACCTGCGTCTGTGCTCATTCCATGCGACTGCTTATACGGGCGGCGACGGCCATTTAAAATGTCGTCTTCTTATCTATTGTTTTCTTCTTTTGTTCAAAGGTGTCAAACGACCGCTCAGACGGGCGCACGCACCCGTTTGGAACACCGTCGAACGCTCCAATTTTTTTCTTGATTTTCTACAAAAGAGTTAAATGACCACTCGAATGGGCATCATGCCCTTTTGAAACACCATCTTTGCTCCTGCTGCATCTGGTTGTTTCGCATTGGAACCTCCAACAGGTCATGCGACCACCCATACGACCGCTTGCAGTCGTTTGGAACACCGTCTTTTAATCTGTTTCTTGCGAAACTTTTCTTTTCCTTAGTTCTCCCGCGTGGTTAGTTCCAAAACAATACATAAACATTTTTCCAGGCATCCAAACATCGATTCAATACATAATTTAACTTGCACATCACAAAGCGTTCATTAGAACCACTCTTCCAAACTTACCTCTTCATATAGAACTTCAATCACTCTTTTTGTTGAAACAAAAATAAAAACTTACTTGTCTACTTTATTTTCATGGGTTGCCCCCCACGAAGCGCGTGTGTTCGGTCAGTTAGCTCGACCGTAGTGGTGATCAAGGCGGTGCAAACACATCGATACCATAGCTTCTGGCATTCACAATGATGCCTTTTCTTGAGTAGGTCTTCATTTTCTTTTTCCTGGGAAATGTCTTACAAAAGGATCTTTAGTAGGTAAATCAAATCTAACATTCCCCTCAAACACATTTATCACAGCTTTGATAGTCTTTAGAAAAGGTCTATCGAGAATTATAGGAGCAATTGGATCTTCAGGCATATCTACTATAACAAGATCAATCATGATAGGGCAATCATTAATTTGAACTACAACACCATACTTAATGCCTACTGCCCGAGTAAAAGTAGAATTATCCATATTCAAAATGATCTCGGTATTAGCATAAGGACCGAGATTAAGACTATCATAAAATGATTTGGGAATAGTGGAAACACTTGCGCCAAGATCACATAAAGCACCGAACTTATTCAATCCTATCGCAATTTCTATAGTAGGTTCAAAAGAATCCTCTTGCTTAGCTGGTAACTTACTATAGAGCTTCTTCCTTTCACCATCAAGTTCCCGTACCTAGGTTGCAACTTGTTCAAAAAAGATATTATATGCTTCATTATTATTAGTTACCTTCGGTAGTGGATACTTCATGGATATCATCTTCACAAAATCTGCAATGGTATAGTTGTACTCCAGCACATGTCTTGTGTCAAGCACATCAACTTTCTCTTCCTTTCTTCTTACCATTTTAACTTCTTCAATGGGGTTAGGCTCCGACTTACCTGCAAACTTAGCCAAAATTAGTGTTTGACTCTCTGCTATTTTAGCTACTTGTGCCTTCATATTCTTGAAGTTTTCATTTTGCTCAATCTGACTAGCAATAAAACTTTTAAGAGTTTCTTCAAGAGTATTTCTGTTGCTAGCATTAGCTCTCTTAAAATTATTTGATGCTCCTCCATTACTAGGAGAAGGAAATCTAGGAGCATATCCATTATTTTTCCAATTAGGATTGTAGCTATTACGAGCGATCAAATTCACATCACTAGTTTCTTCACTAGTGATGGCATTCACGTTTACCTCTTCTTTACCCTTTATCACAGAGATAAGTTCATCAAGCTTGGCTGTTGACTCCGTGCTACTTTCTTCCATGGCACTCACCCTTTTAGTGGTGGTTCTTTCAACATGCAATTGGGCATGGTTCTCTTGCATATCATCCAATAGTTTCTTGACATCTTCTATGGGCTTTCCCATGACCGTTCCTCCTGCAGCTGTATCAAGCATAGTTTTTAACATAGCGGAACCTTGGACATCCATATCGATCCCTATTATTACACGAATGTGAACCTTAGGTTATCATGTGATGTTCCCTTTGCTTCACAATACTTTACAAAACCTGAGGTGAGATGTATTCATATCTTCTTAAGTCATACATAGCTCACTATACTGGTCCCCTCGTTACTGATTGCATTCTTGTTTTTCGTTGACATGTTTCGGCATCCATGTGACATAGTCACCCATGTCTGGCCAGACGATGATGGATGCCGCACACCGAGAGGGTCCTAAGAATATCTCTCCACCATTGGAGGAGCAAATTCCACTCTTGAGCTATCTTGTCCCTTGTCAAACTTTCTGATGAACCTGTAAGTTGTCATTATGATCACCTAATTATAGATGATGTTTGAGCAACCCCAAAGTCCATCAAATGGTAAGAAATGACTGCGATACTCTCATGGTCTAAGGAACTAAATCACACGTTAACACTCCATGTTATAACAAATGACTTCTAATGATTGCATCTCAAAGTATAACAAACAAGTTTGAGTCGATTCAATAGGTCGTTCTTCCAGCGTCATACACTCAATGTTGTTGATCTGGAAAACGTGATCACCAACAATACTTAAGCTAATCTTAGAGGCGAGACTAGGAATCCTATTTTATCGTTTTTCATTCCGCACATGCATATAAGTTTTCCACTGAATCACATGTTCCAGGATCATAGCAGTTATAACATAGAATATAAACTCTTAATTATAAACATGGAAATATAATAATACAACATTATTGCCTCCATGTCATATTTCTAACACGCATCACAATTCCACCGCGACGGAGGTGCAGCCTGCGCTGGCACCTATGTCGTCGTTCCAGCAGCCTGCGTCAGCGCCTATGTCGGTGTTCCATCAGGTGCAGGAGGAACAACAGTACAACTTTGTTCCTCCTGGAGCAGCACCGACTAGCGGAGGGCCAGATCTACGGCGAGCGCACGAGCGAGGTGGCCGTGGCGGCCATGGCCGCAGTGAACCCCAACTTTGTTGCGGAGCAGCGTGCCATTTATCATGCCTTCCGCGCTCAAGCCGCCGCTCGCTAGGAAGTGACCTTGCGGAAGCGCAACACCAAACGATCACAGAGGATAACAACGCCAGCTGCGCCTCCTGTGCGCTGCCGACGAACTATCTGGTGGCCCGATGTGATGACGACAGCGCGAGCGCCACCATTTCCATCATGGACCTCACTTCCACCAGCGACACGGACTCCTCCAAGAATGAGCAGGGCACGGGAGGCGTCAGGGCCTTGTGTTCCATGTGGGCTAGCCCGTCTCCACTCTCCAGTGTTCTACTCTTCCTCGCCGAAGACCGTACTTTCACTTCACGGATCTTATCGCCGGTGCTCATGGAGACGATGGATGGAAGAGACGGTCCTAAGGAAGGGAGCAACAAGGGCTTGGATGCCGATGGCCGCCGTAGTTTTTCTTTATCTAAATGTTTGAAATGTAATGACAAGACGCCGTGTTTGCATGAATGGCGTTTGTTTATGTAAATTATATCCGAACTTGAATGAAATCTGGCCGTATTTGCACAAATTTTGTTAGATTAGTTAAAATCATAGTTGAAATGTATGCAGAGAGTGTTGGATGACAGCCTCCCGCATCCATGTCCGCGGACAGAATCAGGAGAAAATTTGCGGGTCGCCGTTGAAGATGCCCTTAGGACCTAGCCCCCTTGCCTTCTAGCTGCTTAGAAATCATTTGTTTTATATTTTTTTGACCTGCTTAGAAATCATTGTTTTATATTTGCCCTGCATGCATTTGTCATTTAGTTTGACCAAAGAACATGTGCTTCAACGATCCAATTGGGTTTCAAACTTGGTGACCGAGTCCTTCGTTAGGCACTATAAGAAAGTCTTGCTTTTATGATTTATTAAAATTCAAGCTAATTATTTACTCACCCACTTGTGGCGTGCAGCCAAGAAAGAGAGAGAAGCTTACTTGCAAGATGCACGCTCCTGTACCTAGATATGATCGTCATAATTTAACAAGACTTTCTGGCGAGACATTTCGAACTTGTCCTACTCCAGAGCGCGGCCTTTTCCCTTGTTGAGCATCCGTCTTATTTTTTTCCCGTCTGATCCGACGGCTCCAAACGAGTTTCGGGCGCCCGCCACGGCACCGCGCGTTCGTTCCCACGCGCGCGCACACACACACACACACGCAGCACCCAAACCCTTGGCCCCACAGCTCAGCCGCCTCTGGTTAGAAACTGCTTTAAGCAACACGAAGTCCAGCATTGTCTTAGCTAAGCAGCCAGATATTGACGCGGCGATAATAAACAAGAAAGAAACCGTTTGGATTGGAGCCTCCGCCCCGCCGCCGGGTCGCAGCTGTTCCTGAACCCGCCCCATACGCCGGCCGCCCATCGACGCGCCCAATCGAGCCGGGTCGCAGCTGCTCCCGAACCCACGGCCTCGGGTGCACCAGCCAGGCGCCACTCGTAGCCGAGCCGCGCCGATGCCGGCGGCTCCTGCGGTACCTATATCTGCGCGTGGGGTTAGACTGACAGCTGGGACCGGCGGCTCGCAGGGTGGAGCGGAGCGGAGCTCTAGGAGGCCACCACCCCAAATCCCCTTCCTCTGCACATCGCCAGTTTCACCGCCGCTGCGCCCGCACGACGCTGCAGGTGGCGCAGCCGCCATGGACGAGGAGGCCAGCACCAAGGCCGCCGCCGCTGCTGCCGTCGCCACTGCAGCCAAGGCGGCCACTCCGCCGACGCCCTCGGGCTCGGGGTCGCCGGAGGGGGGGAAGGAGGAGGTGGGCGATTTGGTGGAGAGGGTTGCGGAGCTGGTGGACGAGATCGCGGTGATCTCCGACTTCAGGAACGCCTACCGGAGGCAGTTCTGCAATCTGTCGCGGCGGATCCGCCTGCTCGCGCCCATGATGGAGGAGGTCAAGGAAGGACCACGCCCGTTGCCGGAGGCGTCAGTGGCCGCGCTCAGGCAGCTCAGGGACGCGCTCGCCGGCGCCCGGGAGCTGCTCCGCCTCGGCAGCAACGGTAGCAAGATCTTCCTGGTGGGATTTCTCGACTATAGCTCATTGTTTTCTTGTCTTGTTTATACGGTGCATCCGAAATTGCCCATATTCTTGCACCTCTTGCGCTAGATAAGGTTGTATCTCTGGAGTTGAAGAAAATTTCGCCTGACGAATTAGATTGTATTTTACCGTGCTGTGCTGCAGAATTAGAATTTCTCGCTAATCACTTTGCAACATGTTACCTTTTTTTGCCTGTGTAAAAGCTTATCCTTAAAAATTGCTGAGGTTGGACCAGGTTTTGAATTCCCGGGTGTCAAATCAATGCCGGGCCAGAGTAGTTGACAACTTGACATTCTTTAGTGGTGTTGAATAAGTCTGCCAATACCCTAGGTTATTATTGGTTTTGTATACACAACATGGGTGAGCCTAGGAAAAACCAAGGTATAATTACTGAATTCTATACTTTCTAATTTTGGCATGACCAATATTGTAGTTCTAAATATGGAAGTTTGAGAGACTAGTAGTAATCCGTGTAACCGCAGGATTGTACAAGAGTAAAAGATAGCTGTGACTTTACTCCAAAAGAACTAGTTATTCACCACTATTGCTATTTAATCACTGTATCTAGGTCACACTAGCATTGCTCACAAAATGCATATTTGCAGCTGAAAAGCTGATAGGACTTGTTCAGGTGTGTGTGTTTTTGGGTGCAGTTGAAAGCAATTGCTCTCAATGCTAGTCTTTAGTCGTATCTATATGTCAGTTATTGGTGGCGGTCTGTTCACCTCATACCCCCTCCTGATACCAGCCGTTAGATCTGTTGCAAATGGGTGAGATGGTGGTCATGTTCGCTACCAAAGTTGTGATAAAATTACCGGCAAGTGCCACTTATATGTAACTAGCATAATGCCCATGTGTCGCTACGGTACCAAAAAGTGGACGAAGCACAGAGACTGAGGAGGGGTGGTTGGAGAATGCATATTGGGGAGGAGCGGCTGCAGGAAAAAAATTAGTTGTCGGATTGACTGGCTGGTTCTTGTCGTGGAAAAAAATTACGTACTGTCATGTACTTTTAAAATACTTTCCCATGCAAGACATGAGTAAGGCGGGTGGCTTGTTGGACCAGAAGGGATCGAGTAGGTTCTGGATGGATCAGGAAGATTGGGATGAAGTGGGGAGGGTGTACTCGACGCCATCACCACCAACTCCAATTTATATACGATAGTTACGTGATAGGAAAGTCCAATTTATATAAGATAGTTATGTAATATAATAGGAAACAACGAGGGTATCACATAGGATAAGTTTAGCATCACCAGTTTTTGTGGCTCAACCTGTGGGTGCTTAATTTGTTTTGTCCATAGCAACTCACTGGAAGGAAACCTCCAATGTGGCCAGGACACTGGCTGAGATTCTCAGCCGTAGTATAAGTCTTCTTCCTTTTGCTGCATCTTGGGCCAGGGCCCAGGACTATTAGTCTATTACTATGATTTTTCTGTTGCTCAGCCCTGGTCTTGTTTATTTAAACAATATTTATGCACTGGAGCTGGACGACTCAGATATCTAGAGACTTTGATCAGCATGTTGTAACATTCATTTATGATGATTTTGTCGATTAGTTAGTTATGGAAGTTTAATATCTGCAAACCTCTTTTTTCTCTGGGGCGAGGGTGGGACATGACTTTGCGGCATGGATTGATCATGTTGCACTGAGATTCTGTGCCAATTTATTGGTGATACTGATTTCAAAAAGTAAAAAAAAAAACTTTTCCTGCGAACTTCAAATGTGCCCTGCGATGTTACATGTTAGGCATGGATAGATGTGGACATGGCGGTGATAAGGATGGAGTACTATTGCTAGTTGCTCGATACAAGGAATACCTGATAACTCAAAGTTGTTCATCACTGAGGATAGTATATATACTTAGCTTACGTCTGTGGTCCGGGGATGTGGTGAATTTAGTTTGAATCGTCTGTCATAATCGCATTTGGCGGATCATGATTGTTGCAAATTATCATCAGCTGCATCGGGCAGCTGCACTACTGTGATAGGTGTTTCGGAGGGTATAGGTAGGTAGTTTCTGGAGCTCCATATTGATGGTGCAACTGATGGACTATTATACACTAGTAATTTGTACGTGCTTTGCATGTCAGCTTATTATGTATATGCATGGTACTAAATTAATTATAAAACTAAAGCACACATATTATGGTAAATTTTTCATAGAAGCTTCAAATGGGAAATATCCAGTAGGCATTTTTGGTATCATTTTTGGGCTTCGCAAGGAATGCATAACAACTATTCCCCCAAGAAACATAGTACAATGATTTTCTTTAGGAAACATAAGATAGAGTCTTCGCCCTTTTTATATAAAAATATATGTTTATGAAGTCCGTTAGTTTATTGGACTCATACTCAAATTTTTTGAGAAAAATGAAGTGAAAAGAAGAAGTACAATTAATAATAAATTTTGAGCTTCTCAATCCCATGTCAGCTAAGAAAAAAAAAGTGTCAAAACGTACTATTTCATAGGTTCTTTGCACATTTTTTTTCTCATTCTATTTTTCCTAGGTACCTTACTACTTGTTTCAAATAAAAGAAAATGGAATATATTGCAATTCTAGGCTCGCATGCACGCTTTCCTGAGATAGTTCTACTGGTTCAGTACTGTCTCTTGTGAACATGTAGCCAGGTAGGACTAAAATAATTTAGAGGAGCAAGTGTGTAGTCCACCTCATAGTGGAAAGATCTAGAGCATGGTCAGATGACAGGGTCAGATGGTGGTGGGTCAAATAGTGAATCCTAGAAATAGCAGCCATAGGTTTGGAGGCAGCTCCTGTTGATGCGAATCCCACTGCCCCCAACCGTTAGATTGAGGGTACGAACGATCAGGATTGATGCTCTAGATCCATTCGAAACTCGTACACTATATAGTAGTATAGAAATAATGAGACCGAGGGTACTAGAACTGTTGGTACACTTGCAAGAATAAGCAAGAAGATGCACTGGTATATTAGTCCCACGAAATAAGCAATGAGATTGAGTCTGCTCCTTATGGGTCAAAGCCAGGTCACATGGGGATGCCATTGCACTCTGATCACTGGGATATTGCCCAGTCCTCGGATGGACTGATTATATGAGGAAAAATGGAAACACCAGAAGGATCTGAATCACACTTTAATGGGAATAATTCTCCACAAGGTTTCATCCACGGAAGGAGAGCCAGGGCTCAAGGGCAGGTGAAAAGACGTAGTTAATAGACAGTTTATTTTAGCCATAGCTGCTAAGCCACTATAAGTGTTTAAGGGGGTAAAAAGATCTAGTAATATATTTGGAGTCATGTTTGTGATGCAGTTTTACAGGGTAAAAAACTAGTGTCTCAGTGCGAAATATTTTAGGTTGAAGGCTACGTGCTGTCTGAATTGCACTGCATAGGATAACTTTAAAATAGTTTTAGTTATAATTTTTACGTGATTACATTTGAGAAATAACGACACTATGTTGCTCTGTTCTGATGAGGTATGTGATGGTCAATCAAGCACTTCTATATGTTTGCACGGGTGTGTTCATTAAAAAGTAGCGAGGCTGTGTAGTTGAGTGGGCTAATATTTCTTGATCCGTGTACCTTGATGAACACTAAAATACTGTTAGTCAGCAGATCTTGTGGTTAATTTTTGCTGTATAAATTTGCAACTGCTTTCCATACATATTTAAATCACGACCATTTTCCAACAATTAGTGGTTTCCCCATTTGCAGGTTCTCGAGAGAGAGAAGATAATGCAGACTTTCCAGGACATTACCTCGAGGCTTGAGCAAGCCTTAGCTGGTATCTCGTTTGATGAGCTTGGCATATCAGATGAAGTAAGGGAACAGGTAATTTTTCTCACTCTTGAGTTTCTTTGTCAGTGAAACCTTTTAGATTTTTTGCTTTGATTTGTTTTGTTTGGCTTTTCTTGCTTATCTGCAGCTGAAACACTTGCAATGTTGTGCAGGTTGAACTGGTGCATGCTCAATTCAAAAGAGCAAAAGAACGACCAGATACATCGGATGACATTCTCTTTAATGATCTAATTTCTGCCTATAATTCAAGCACCAATGATAATGCTGATCCAGATATCATTCAAAGGTTATCTGAGAAGTTGCAGCTTGTCACCATATATGACCTCAATCAAGAATCATTGGCCTTGCATGAGATGGCTAGTGGAGGGGATCCTGGTGCAGTTGTTGAGAATATGTCAATGCTGCTGAAAAAGATCAAGGATTTTGTGCAGACCCAGGATCCTATAGGCATCCCAGCAAGTACAACAAACCCTTCCCGAGATGACAACTTGACATCTCCTGTTGTCCCGGATGATTTTCGTTGCCCAATATCACTGGATTTAATGAAAGACCCAGTTATTGTCTCCACTGGCCAGGTCTCTGCCTAACTTTTATCTTTTGTTTCCTATCAATCTGCAGACTTCCATTTATATTTCAACTCACAAGAATTTCTTCAAAATGTTTGTATTCAGACTTACGAGCGAGGTTGCATAGAGAGATGGTTGGAGGCAGGGCACGACACCTGTCCTAAGACGCAGCAGAAGCTTCCAAATAAATCTCTAACTCCAAACTATGTGCTCCGTAGCCTCATAGCTCAATGGTGTGAAGCGAATGGTGTAGAGCCGCCAAAGCGCCCTGCTCAGCCTAATACTACACCAGCAACATGTACCGCCTCTGAGCATAGTAAAGTTATTGAGCTCCTGCAGAAACTATCATCCCAGAACCTTGCAGATCAACGTGGAGCTGCAGGTATGCTTCGTCAGCTTGCCAAGCGTAGCGCTGAAAATCGTGCTTGTATAGGAGAAGCTGGTGCTATTCCTATCCTTGTGAGCCTTCTACCAACCACCGATGTTAGCACCCAGGAACATGTGGTTACTGCTCTCCTGAATCTTTCTATTTATGAAGAGAACAAAGCAAGAATAATTACCTCTGGAGCTGTTCCTGGAATTGTACATGTGCTAAAGAGAGGCAGCATGGAGGCTCGGGAGAATTCAGCTGCCACACTGTTTAGCCTATCACTTGTGGATGAGAACAAGGTGACGATAGGGGCTTCTGGGGCAATTCCAGCTTTGGTGCTGCTATTGGGTAATGGAAGTCAACGGGGTAAAAAGGATGCAGCAACAGCACTATTTAACTTGTGTATCTATCAGGGCAACAAGGGTAAAGCTGTTAGAGCTGGATTGGTCCCTATACTACTTGAGCTTCTAACAGAGACTGAAAGTGGAATGGTTGATGAGGCCCTGGCTATACTGGCAATTCTCTCGAGCCATCCTGAGGGAAAGGCAGCCATCAGCGCTGCCGCCGCCATACCAATTCTAGTTGGAGTTATCAGGAATGGATCCTCGAGGAACAAGGAGAATGCTGCGGCTGTTCTGGTGCATCTCTGTAATGGCGAACAGCAGCAACAGCATCTTGCAGAAGCACAGGAGCAGGGCATCGTGACCTTGCTGGAGGAGCTAGCAGAAAGCGGCACAGACAGGGGGAAGAGAAAAGCGATCCAGTTGCTTGAACGGATGAATAGGTTTCTAAAGCAGCAGAGCCAAGCCCAGGGAGACGCGATGGCACAGGCGCACACTCAGTCCCAAACCCTGTCCCAGGTTCTGGTTCAAGCTCAAGCAGATACTCAGCTAGAGGAATCACTGCCTCCTACTTCATCCCATCTTCCAGAAAGATGAGGTGAATAATCATTAGCTTCTCATTCTAGGTAGTGGTTTGTTTTTGGGCCGTCTGCCAGGTGGAAGACCTCCTGCAATTCTTGCTCTGCAGGTGTGCGTTTTGGCTGTACAATGTTGTCAGGAATAGGAAGGCCCGGCAGCGCAGCGTGATTTAGGGATTTAGGGCTGTGAGCATGTTGACAGGTCAGTTTTGCAACCATGGTTGGTGCTGTTAACCCGTGTTTGTTTGTAGTTGGTACAATGTGTCCGGTGATTCAAGGTAGGATCCTCGAGTTTTAGGGAGGTATATCGTCATATGCTTGTACTGGGTGCCTGGTACATGACTAATTTGTGGCTTCCTAGGGTGATAATTTTACCTGCCTGAGAAAGAGAGCTTGAGTAAAGCCTTCGTTCAAGTTTTTGTGTTCAGCTAAGCTTCTGCTCTGGATATTTTCTAAGACAATAGCTGGAGCATGGACTGTTCTTCGCGTGTAACTCGAAAGAAATCCATGTGGGTGTGGGCATGTTCCGATCACTGTCCGCATGTTGTTGCCATTGAAATTCGCCCCGGAATACTGTACCCTCCTCAGAGTTACTAGATTTTTCGTTTCTTTCGGCTGTTCTCCTGGTCCGGGGCAATGTAGCTGGATTCTTGATGAAATTGCCCTGGCATTTCCCAACCTGATATGATGATACGAGAGGCGGCGATGGTTCCAATTGGAAGACGTCACGCTCGCCACACTAGCTTGTGTCCCAGACACACTTAACTGTCATGGCGAATCGGCGCAGCCGAAAGGGGAGAGGGGCACGCCGGTGACTCGGGCCACATGCGCGTGCCTCCTACGTACCTTTCCCTTCCGTCAACGGTGGGTAGGACTTAGGAGCGAGGGAGAGATCGGGCCGGCCTCAATTATGTGCAGATCGATCGGCACGACCGCGAAGAAAGTGAGCTTGGCTTGCTGTTAGACTCGAGTCGGAGCCTGATGCGACTGGCGATGTAAATGCATGTGGTGGCACTTCATGACACTGTTCCTGCCCGGTTCCTTTTCACGAACAGATTCGGGCAGATGCCAGCGCCACCATCTTATTTATAAGCCACAGTGGTACGCGCCTTTCCAACTCGAGCCCACGACCAAATGCCTCGCGCGCCGTCGAGTTATTCCGGCGTTCCTTCCACAACGGCATGCTTGATCTTCCCTGTTCATCGCATCGCATCGCATTATTGCCGCCTGATTGGTTGGTTGCACCCGGTCGACAACCACCCTATCAATCAAATCAAGAAAAAGAATTAAGCTGCTGCTTGCATTATTAAGAAAATTAAGCTAGCAAGCACTCAATCCCTCCCCTAAGAAAAGCTTAAAGCTCATGCATTATGCCATAGTCTATGCTACATGTGGTGACCTCGTGGCTGATCTGCGAATTAGTGCGATATGATGACGCTGATACGCGACGAATCATCGCTCAGAACCAACACGTACGGGGAGAAGCATTGTTTATTAGCACCCTGTATCGATCTGTGTCCACTAGCATTCACTTATCTAGTCGCAGGTTTGGCGTCGTTGTCTTGTAACAACTAACAACGACTAGTTCGTCGACGAGTCGTTTGGTTCTGGCCAACGGAGCCGAATATCTTGAGCTCGAATCGCTTCAGGCGTAGAATAGACGCCGCGACCTTTGACAACGTTGGCATTTTGCAATCTTACCTTAAGAGTAAAATGAATACGAAGTAGTACCATATATACCAGAGCCCATGTTAACGTTCCTCACAGTTCAGGAGCAGGAAAATAAGAGTTTACCCATGCAGCTAGTTAGCGATGCCACAGCATCGCCTACCGCGGATTCGAGGAAATTGCACAAAACACCTATTTTTGGTGGTAGTTTTGCACAAAACACCTACTTTACGGGTTTGTTGCACAAAACATCACATTTTTTTGAGGGGTCACTACTAGAAAAAGGGCTATAACTAATATGAACATTAATAACGCACCACGTATGTGGTGCGCTGACATTTTATTTATTTAAAACTAGTAATGGCGCACTACGCCATTACTAGTTTTAACTAGTAATGACGCACCACGGACTGTGCGCCGCTACTAACAATTTTATTTTTCAAAACTTGTAATGGCGCACCAGGGGATAGTGCGCCATTACTAGTTCAAACTAGTAATGGCGCACCACAACCACGGTGCGCCACTACTAACAAATTTTTTTTTTCAAAACTAGTAATGACGCACCATATACAGGTGCGCCATTAGTAACCAGGGTTACTAATGGCGCATTATTAGGTGGTGCGCCATTGGTAACCTGTGAGCAGCTAGATATTTTGGACAACCACCTACCACACTCACTTTTCCCACTTTATTCTCTCCACCTCCTCCTCCAAGCTTGTCTCGGTTGCCTCCTCCTTCTCACCTCATTTGCATCATAGATTCACCCAAATTAAGTGGTTAAATTTCCTTTTTTTGATAGGTAAGTAAGGGGAAAGCTTTCTTTATGTTCTAGATCTACTTTTTTCTCCCTCCAACAACGTGCACATGCACTTTCTATGGCCTAGATCTACGTATGTTTGTGGTATTGCATATGTTTGTGTTTGCAGGTACCGGTATTTGAAATGTAACAGTTGCCAATAATTTGCCGGAATGTTGATTCATTTCCGTTTCGGCGAGAATTTGGCACTATGCATTCTTTTTGGTCCTATTTTTAGGCAAAGTCATGCCAGATTTTTTGGTTCTAAAATATCGTTTTGCTCTACCCCGCAGGCGACCATGGTCCGCACGATGACCGAAGGCATCGTGAATAGGTTTTTGAGCTCCGCGAAGGCCGAGATGCTTCAAAAGAACGAGACGGAGATAAGATGTCCGTGTCGAAGATGCAATCTGAAGAGCCTTATGGACCTGGATTCCGTACAGGTGCGGGACCACCTCCTCTTGCGTGGTTTAATGGATGGCTATCGGTGGCAAGGTGATGAAGATGATTATGAAGTCATCCATGGGGGCCGGGCAAGAAATAAGGAAGGGCAGCAATACAACCGCGGCGAGGGCGGGCGAGAAGACGAAGAATCTCCAGGACATGATCACAAAGTAGATGCAGTACACAGTCATCATGTAGAAGATGCCGGACATGATGATGAGGAAGATCAAGACGAAGGGCATGATCATGAAGATGAAGATGCCAGAGCAGACAATGATGGACCATCGATGGGCTGGGTGCAGGACCCTCATATTCAAGAGCTGCTTCTCAAGCAAACGGATAACGCAAGAGCTGCCGCCCAAGAGAAAGCCAGGCTGGATCAACTGGAGATAGACGCAGTTACTCCATTGTATGAAGGATGCATGCCCGAGGATACCCGCCTGAAAGTTATGCTCATGGCTCTGGAGATGAAGGTAAAACACAAAATGACCGACACATGCTTCGACGAGAACATGGCATTCTGGCACAAACGTTGATACGCCTCCAACGTATCTACTTTTCCAAACACGTTTGCCCTTGTTTTGGACTCCAACTTGCATGATTTGAATGAAACTAACCCGGACTGACGTTGTTTTCAGCAGAATTGCCATGATATTGTTTCATGTGTAGAAAACAAAAGTTCTTGGAATGTCCTGAAAACCGACGGAGGCACTTTTTGGAAAATAGAAAAAATACTGGAGAAAGAATCAAGACCAGGGGACCCACACCCTGTCCACGAGGGTGGGGGGCGCGCCCTCCCCCTGGGCACGCCCCCTGTCTCGTGGGCCCCTTGAGGCTCCGCCGACCTCAACTCCAACTCCATATATTCCGTCTCGCGGAGAAAAAAAATCAGAGAGAAAGTTTCATCGCGTTTTAGATACGGAGCCGCCACCAAGCCCTAACCTCTCTTGGGAGGGCTGATCTGGAGTCCGTTCGGGGCTCCGGAGAGAGGGATTCGTCGCCGTCGTCATCATCAACCATCCTCCATCACCAATTTCATGACGCTCACCGCCGTGCGTGAGTAATTCCATCGTAGGCTTGCTGGACGGTGATGGACTGGATGAGATTTACCATGTAATCAAGTTAGTTTTGTTAGGGTTTGATCCCTAGTATCCACTATGTTCTGAGATTGATGTTGCTATGACTTTGCTATGCTTAATGCTTGTCACTAGGGACCGAGTGCCATGATTTCAGATCTGAACCTATTATGTTTTCATGAATATATGTGTGTTCTTGATCCTATATTGCAAGTCTATAGTCACCTATTATGTGTTATGATCCGACAACCCCGAAGTGACAATAATCGGGATACTTCTCGGTGATGACCATAGTTTGAGGAGTTCATGTATTCAGTATGTGCTAATGCTTTGTTCCGGTTCTCTATTAAAAGGAGGCCTTAATATCCCTTAGTTTCCGCTAGGACCCGCTGCCACGGGAGGGTAGGACAAAAGATGTCATGCAAGTTCTTTTCCATAAGCACGTATGACTATTTACGGAATACATGCCTACATTACATTGATGAACTGGAGCTAGTTCTGTGTCACCCTATGTTATACCTATTACATGAGGAATCGCATCCGACATAATTATCCATCACTGATCCATTGCCTATGAGCTTTTCACATCTTGTGCTTCGCTTATTTACTTTTCCGTTGCTATTGTTACAATCACTACAAAACCCAAAAACATTACTTTTGCTACATTACCTTTATTATCATACTACTTTGCTACTAAATACTTTGCTGCAAATACTAAGTTATCCAGGTGTGGTTGAATTGACAACTCAACTGCTAATACTCAAGAATATTCTTTGGCTCCCCTTGTGTCGAATCAATAAATTTGGGTTGAATACTTTACCCTTGAAAGCTGTTGCGAACCCCTACACTTGTGGGTTATCAAGACTAATTTCTGGCGCCATTGCCGGGGAGCATAGCTCTATTCTCTGAGTCACTTGGGATTTATATCTGTTGATCACTATGAAGAACTTGAAAGACGATAAAAACAAGATTTTGCCCTCAACTACGAGGGGAGGTAAGGAACTGCCATCTAGCTCTGTAGTAGATTCTCCTTCT